ACACACACACACACACACACACACACATTCTTTTTCAGATTCTTTTCCCTTACAGATTATCATAAGATACTGAACATAGTTCCTTTTTCTATACTGTAGATCCTTGTTGGTTACCTATTTTATATGTAGTAGTGTGTATCTAAATCCTAAACTCCTAATTTATCTCTCCCCATCCCCTTCTTCTTTGCTATCCACAAGTTTTTTCTCTGTGTCTGTGACTATATTTCTGTTTTGTAAATACATTCATTTGTATAATTTTTTTAGATTCCACATATAAGCAATGTCATATGATATTTGTCTTTCTCTGTCTGACTTATTTCACTTCTTATGATAATCCCTAGGTCCATTCCGGTCACTGCAAATGGCACTATTTTCTTCCTTTGTTTATGGCTAAGTAGTATGCAGCCATAAGAAGTAGTGTGTATATTGCTGTGTGTATATATCTATATTATATGCATGCTAATTTGCTTCAGTTCTGTCCAACTCTTTGTGATCCTATGGACTGTAGCCAGCCAGGCTCCCCTGTCCATGGAGATTCTCCAGGCAAGAATACTGGAGTATGTTGCCATCCCCTCCTCCCAAGGATCTTCCTGACGCAGGGATCAAACCTGTGTCTCTTACATCTCCTGCATTGGCAGGCAGGTTCTTTACCACTAGCACCACCTAGGAAGTCTATATATATATATATATATATATATATATAGAGAGAGAGAGAGAGAGAGACTTTATATATATATATATATACTTAAAAAAATAATTATATATTTATATATAATATAAATAAATATTTATATATCTTCTTTATATATGTATGTATATATATATATCTTCTTTATCCATTCATCTGTCAATGGACATTTTGCTTTTTTCCAAGTTTTGGCTATTATAAATAGTGCTGCTTTGAACATTGGGATACATGCACCTTCTTGAATCATAGTTCAGAAATCTATCTTGCATTGAGTAAAAAGAGAAGAAAGTGGAGGAGGAGAGAAAGCAGCAGAGGAAGATGAATTGTGTCATTTTATAGCAAGAAGGCCTAGGTTCCAAAGATGGCTTTAACATCTACAAGTTGAATGACTTTGAGAACTGACATAATATCTAAGCATCACTCTCCTTACTGTAAAATGGGGATTCTAATAGCATCTGGGGGATTACATGAGAACATTACTGTACAATGTACAGTAGTGTACATTGTACACTACTACTATCAGAAGTGCTTGTTCCAGAGGGGGGGAAAATCAGAGAGAATTAGCAGTTGGTATAGCAGAGTAAGAAAAAAACTTTGGCTTCAGCTTATCAAATATGTTATCTTTATATGATTCTTTTTTAAAGAGGCACAATTTAGAAGCCTAAAGTTAAAAGATGTGCCTCAGGCCACCTGCTCTTCCTATCCACTCAGTAATCACCAGGCAGGGTCTGGCTCCTCTCTATTATTTGCTTTATGAAGGTGAAGTCGCTCAGTCGTGTCTGACTCTTTGCGACCCCACATCCATGGGATTTTCCAGGCAAGAGTACTGGAGTGGGTTGCCATTTCCTTCTCCATATTTGCTTTATAAATACCTGCAAACCCCTCTCTGTCACTGCAAATATCCTCCAGGTTAATTTATTTTGGGCAAAGGACAGAATTTAAATGAAAGCCTTTTACATGTCATGGATATCAGAATAGAAAAACAAAAATCAGTGAAAACTGGTGAAGTTCAAATAAGAACTGTTGCTTATTCACTAATATCATACCGATGTTAATATCCTATTCTTGACAATTATACTATGACTGTGTATGATTTTTACATAAGGGGAGGTGAAATGAAGGTATAAGGGAACACTTGTATTATGTTTGCAACTTTCCTGTTAATTCTAAAAAAATTTTTTTCTCAGTTTGTTTTGTTTAGCTGAGAGATAATCTGCATTAATCATAGCGGAGGTTGCAGCAAGTTTTTTATTGGTTCCCAAATCACTTGCTACGGACATATGGACACACCTGGACTGACTCCAAGGACTCATGGGGACAGCATCTTCCAAGTATGGAGAATTATAGAGCATTGATGGAGTCTACATGATTGATATATTTTTCCCCTGAGGAAAAGATGATTATGATGCTAAAACCTAGGAGCTCAGGTAATGCTACTGATCAGGAAAAGCAAAACAAACATCATTCAAAACCTTCTGATAAGAAATCCCCCTTATCAACTATCATCAGCTTGAAGCAGCTATTTCACTCCATAGACGCAGTTAAGCTTTCATACACACAGGTCAGGGAATTCCTTTCTCACTGTTGTGATATTTTATAAATGAAGTGTTTCTTAACTGTGTAGATTCCAGTGATGGTGACTATAATAGAGACAAACAATGATGTGTGTAGGTAAACAACTTGAAGAAATGACTACAGAGTGTTTATTCATAAATCCATTATGGACTGAGTGAGCACTGCATAGGAATCTGAATCCCAGATGCTAGAATATAGTGAGATCAGATCTGTACCATGGTGACATTGCTTTTGTGACAGGCTCAGTGTGGAATTAGAAAAAGGAGAGACTGGAGATGGAGGTTTGAGGTCCTGCTGGGCTAGGGAAGATAGAATAGGGCCTTACCTGATGCCTTGTTGGGAAGGACAAAGGAGATGGCAAGAAATTAAGAGATAAGATCCCTAGCAAGAGAACAAAGATATACAATGACCTGTCTCAAATACGGCGTGCAATGAGGTAGCAAGGAAGAAAGAAAGAAAGAAAAGAGAAAAAGGAGTGAGTTGTGGATGTGATGAGGTTGTAGTAAGGGAGAAGTGAGGTAGGAAGAAAGGCAAGCTGATAGAAGAGGAAGAGACATAAAGCACATAATTAAATTTTTAGGCAAAAACAAACAAACCTTGCTAACCAAGAATCCTCAGTTTTCCTAAATTTTCTACAGCTTTTATCTTAACCAACTTTGAACAACTTCTATATTACTCAAACAACCACCACCATAATCCTAGGTAATACTGATCTCAGGCATTATAGTATCAGACCTAATATAACTTAGATCCTACAGACTTCTACCACTTTGTTTTTCTGAGAAAGTTTCTAGGAAGCAGTTAAGTATCAGCAAACAGTGCCCTTCATTAGTTACAGGATGTTTTTAGGAACTCAGATATATTCAGGCACCAATAAATAAACAAAAGTGGCTGAGTTATGCTGATATGGGCTAAACTCATGTTACTCTCTTGCAGTAGTCAGTGGTTATGAAGCAAATTGCTAATGATAATAAGTTTGAGTTGATTGCATCTGTGTCCCCAGTTATAATGCAGAAGACAGAAAGTACATGTATTCATTCTTTCAGGAAATATTTATTAAATATTTCAAGTAATGCTCTAGATTCTGGGGATATAATGGGGGAATAAGAAGGACAAAAAGAAATTGTTTTCACTGTTCAAAAGATTGCTTTCACTATCATAAATGTTAGGCAGAAAACAAAGCAGGGTAGATAGAACTTGACCCACTGAGAGAGAGAGGCAGAGGGAGAATTGCTACGTGACTTAGATGATGAATTCTCCCAGAAACTTCATTTGAGCTGAGGCTTGGAGGGGAAACAAAGGCAGCCATGAGAAGTTCTACAAGTATTACAGGAAAGAGCCAAATTTGACTCCATGTTGGATGTGTCTTTTTTCTCTAACCTTTGCTTCCTGTTGCTTTTGTTCACAAAAAAGATACTGTCTATATAATGGCCTGCCTGGAGAATGGAGAACCCTGCCTCTCTGCTTGAATGTTAAACCAAAGTGTCTTTGTTCAGGGAACCATCCTGGCCCTGTCTGCCGGTGAATGACTGTGAGAGGGAATAAATTAACACATCCCTCCCGAAGGCTGGCCACTCCAGGCGATATTTGCAACGCTTATGTCCTTTTTACTTTGCTTCCTCATCTCCTCCCCTTCTCTGGTCTATAAAAGAAACTGGCATCCAGACCCCGATAAGATGGTTTTGGGGGGATACTAGTCTGCTATCTTCTCAGTCTGCTGGCTTTCTGAATAAAGTCGTATTCCTTGCCTCAACACTTCATCTCTGTGTATTGGCCCATTGTGCGGTGAGCAGAGTGAACTTGGACTCAGCAGTGGAAGGAGTGGAGGGGAGATGCTCCAGGTGGAGGCGCCCTGTGCTGGTTACAGGCACAAACTCTGGAGCCAAACTCTGTGGGTTTGAATCATGACTCTTCCAAGTGTCAGCTGTTTGGTCTTAGACAAGTTCCTTTTCTTTGCCTCAGTTTCCTCGTCTATAAAATGGTGATATAAGGGGACTGAATGTGCTAAATATGTGAATAAAGTGCTATTTGTGTTTGTTAAATATATTGTTGTTGTTGTATTGTCATTGTCTTTGTTGTTCAATTTCTACACCATGTCCAACTCTTTTTTTGGGGGGGGGCGGGGTATAGGGTACTTTTATTGATGGTGCACGACAAGGCAGGGCTCCCTAAGCCCTTCCCCTTCCTCAGGGCCTTGGGGATGGAAACTGTGTGGAGGTCGGGACATTCTCAGTGTGGTGGAGGATCGAGGTGGGGCAAGGACTCCCCAGCAGTTGAGGAACTCTCTCTTCCTCTCGTGCTCCTGCTGGGGCTGGGGGTCCGGGGACCTTACTCCTTGGAGGCCGTGTGGACCATGAGGTCCATCACCCTGTTGCTATAGCCAAATTCATTGCCGTACCAGGAAATGAGCTTGACAAAGTGGTCGTTGAGGGCAGTGCCAGCCCCAGCATCGAAGGTAGAAGAGTTGAGTGTCGCTGTTGAAGTCGCAGGAGACAACCTGGTCCTCAGTGTAGCCTAGAATGCCCTTGAGAGGGCCCTCTGACGCCTGCTTCACCACCTTCTTGATCTCATCATACTTGGCAGGTTTCTCCAGGTGGCAGGTCAGATCCACAACGGACACGTTGGGGGTGGGGACGCAGAAGGCCATGCCAGTGATCTTCCCATTGAGCTCAGGGATGACCTTGCCCACGGCCTTGGCAGTGCCAGTAGAAGCAGGAATGATGTTCTGGGCAGCCCCTCAGCCATCACGCCACAGCTTCCCAGAAAGGCTATCCACGGTCTTCTGGGTGGCAGTGATGGTGTGGATGGTGGTCATGAGTCCCTCCACGATGCCAAAGTGGTCATGAGTGACCTTGGCCAGGGGGGCCAAGCAGTTGGTGGTGCAGGAGGCATTGCTGACAGTCTTGAGGGTGTTGTTATACTTCTCATGGTTCACGCCCATCACAAACATGGGGGTATCAGCAGAAGGTGCAGAGATGATGACCCTCTTGGTGGCACCCTTCAAGTGAGCCCCAGCCTTCTCCATGGTAGTGAAGACCCCAGTAGACCCCACCATGTACTCAGTACCAGCATCATCCCACTTGATGTTGGTGGGATCTCGCTCCTGGAAGATGGTGATGGCCTTTCCATTGATGACGAGCTTCCCATTCTCCGCCTTGACTGTGCCGTGGAAATTGCCGTGGGTGGACTCATACTGGAACATGTAGACCATGTAGTGAAGGTCAACAAAGGGGTCATTGATGGCGATGATGTCCACTTTGCCAGAATCAAAAGCAGCCCTGTTGACCAGGCGCCTGATGTGGCCAAATCCATTCACTCCGACCTTCACCATCTTGTCTCAGGGATGCGGCTGGCACAGCACGAAAGTTACAGCTATCTGTTGAATGGGCAGGGGCAGAGAGCCCATGTCCAACTCTTTAAGACCCCATAAACTGCAGCACGCCAGGCTTCCCTGTCCTTCACTATCTCCTGGGGTTTGCTCAACCTCATGTCCATTGATTCGGTGATGCTGTCTAACCATCTCATCTTTAGCATACATACATATATACATCCATACAGCCAGCTTCAGCCTGGGGTTGCACTTGGAAGCAAAGTAGTAAAGGAACCTTTTAAGAATATAATGGTTATGCTGAGTCTTGAGGTTTGGAACAGAAAGTCTCAAAGCAGAGGAAAAAGGAGATAGAAAAGCTGTTCATAAACAGCTTAGGATCTTGGATGACTTAAGTAGTTTGGAAAGGATAGGGGCACAGGAGTGTTCCATGGCAATCTACTGGTTACCTGTCAGTATATGATGAACTCTCCCAGTACCAGGTGCCTAAAACAACACTTACTATTATATCTCATGATTGTGGGGCTTAATGGGCTCACCTAGGGGATCTGGTGCAATTGCACTAAAATGGTATTTGAGACTGGATTCATTCCCTGATAGCTCAGTTGGTAAAGAATCTGCCTGCATTGCAGGAGACCCTGGTTTGATTCCTGGGTCAGGAAGATCCACTGGAGAAGGGATAGGCTACCCACTCCAGTATTCTTGGGCTTCCCTGTGGCTCAGCTGGTAAAGAATCCGCCTGCAATGTGGGAGACCTGGGTTCAATCTCTGGGTTGGGAGGATTCCCTAGAGAAGGGAAAGGCTACCCACTCCAGTATTCTGACCTGGAGAATTCCATGGACTTTATAGTCTATGGGATGGCAAAGAGTCGGACACAACAGAGCGACTTTCACTTTCTTTCACTTCCTTTCACTTTCTTGCCTGGAGGTCTGGTTCCTGAGCTGGAATGGCTGGACCAGCTAGAGTTCACTTAGGCATCTCCCTCTCCATATGGCCCTTCCACGTGGCTAACCTGGGCTCTCTCATAGGATGATGGTCTTAAGGTAGTCATACTTTTAATTTGGCACTTTCCCTTAGGGAGAGAGAGTTCCAAGAGACAGGAAGTGAAAGCTGCTAGTTTCCTAAAGTCTGTATTTGGAACCTGACACCATGAGATTTCCACCATACTTTTTTGGTTAAAGGAGCCACAAACCAGTCCGAATTCAGGGAAGTGGACATAGGCTCCAATTTTGATTGGAGAAGAGTCAAAGAAAGTGTGGTCATTTTAAATCTGCTTTAAATCTGCAAGGGGCGATGAGAGGCAGAGCTCTAGATGAAGGGGTTGGGAGAATGCCTATACTCAGGAGGTCCTTGTGTGACATTTGATCGTGTTAAAAATTTTTCTGGTAGGTAATGTTAGTACCAGTTTATGCTTTAACTATAGAAATACAAGTGTCTAGACATTATAGATAAAATGGGTTCCTTTCTTCTAAATTTGCGGTGGGAACATGAGAACCATAAGGAAAAGTAAAGATTAAAGTATTAATCTTCAATTCTGAAAGATTATAATTTTCTTCTAGTACTGCTCCCCTGAAGAAAAATTCGCTAATGGCTACAGATGGGTCTCAAGAACAAGGAGATGCATGCAACTGCAACCGGGATGTCTTGTGGATAAGAGGTGAGCTTGGAAAAGGTCTTTGCCTAGTACTGAGAATTTCTCATTTAGTTTTATTGCTTTGATTTACACAGAGACTGTTTTGAGGTGGGAGAGTTAACCAGTTTTAGGAGGTGGGTGCTGTCTTTTTTATATAGTGCAATAGTAATTTACCTTAAAGGAGCTGGTCTGATTCTGGAGTAATTCATGAGTAACTGGTTCTATGAAGAGTGTAGACAGAGTCCATTTTCTACACACACTTACATAAGCATTGATTAGCATTTTCTACCCATTCCTCCATGTCTATTTTTAAAATGAGAGCTGAAGAATTTCAGAAGTTGCTCATGGAAGGAGTGTTTCATAAAGTTATGAAACTTAAAGCAATCTGACTTTCATCAACAAAGTCCCATCTGGGATTGCCACATGTGCAATTTCTATGCTAAATGGGAGAGTTCTTATTTTATGTGTAGATTTGTAAGTTATCAGGACTAAGTACCTGCTATGGATAATATGTTTCTTTCTTCCCAAATTAAATGAACCACTTACCTCAAAGTAGTTTCTACTTTTCTAGTCATTTCCCAAGACATAGGACTTTATTTATTCAAAAATTCTTGTATCCTGCTCATCATGTAACAGGTATGATTTGAAGTCTTTATAAATAATAACTCATTTTCTTGTCATTACTACTTGAGGAAGGCAATGCTGTTATCATCATCCTCAGTTTTGTAGATGAGCTATAGAGATATTACAAACACATGTAATAAATAACAGAGCCGGGACATGAACCCATTCAGCTGGGCTCCAGAAGTCACATTCTTAAGCACTATGCTCTGTTACTTCCATTTTTCCATGAACACCACTATATCAGCGTCTACATAACTCCACACTAGCCTAGACTCACATTATTACAATTACTATAAACTTTCCAGGAGTCAAATTTTTGATCTATTCATCTGTGAATCCATGGTATCTGGCATTGGACTTAGCAAATAGAAGTTACCGAAAAATAGGTTTGCCTAAATGAAAGAAACTGGGTTAATAATCAGAGGTATAAATGATTCTTAGACCTTCGTATCTATCATTTGTTGTTGCTGTTTAGCCGCTGTTGCAGTTCTTCGCAACCCCATGAACTGTAGCGTGCCAATCTCTTTGTCTGAAATTTTCCAGGCAGAAATGCTAGAGTGGGTAGCCATTCCCTTCCCCATGGGATCTTCCCAACCCAGGGATCGATCCCGGGTCTCCTGCATTGCGGGCCAATTCTTTAGTTTAGCAGAATTGTATTATCCAACAATTAAGATGTCTACATATGCTTTCCACTTTCACTCACATCGGGATGAATTTATACATCTATCCCATTTCTTCTTTATGTCTAAGCACTCACATTTTCTTGCTCTCCAGGAAGTTTCATAGGAAGTCTTATGACTTAAACTTGAATCCAAGACAAGGGTTAGTTTGCAAAGACTGCACAAGCATTAAATATCATACATGAATCACAAGGTTAGTTGGCATTTCTGAATCACATGGCTCTTAACATAATGAAATTTTAAAAGAAATGCCATCTTGCTCACTAGCTAATGGTTTTTTGCCCTATTGAGAAATTATTTCTTTAACATTAGTAGGTTAATCAAGATTAATATCTGTGAACTATGAACTCCTAAGTATACAATCTAATTGAAGGCACTGTTGACAAAAATCTCTATTTTATAGGCAGGTCACTGAACAAACATCACTTAGCAATATGTCACAGACATTTGAAAATGTACAGATTCAGCAAATATTGTTCATTTGTTTCATTCATTTTTTCACTATCTTTTTATAGTGATGACACATTTTAAGATTTAAAAAAGCCACACTTTAATCCTTGAACTATATACATTCAATTTTAAAACAGGCCTCTTGATAAATAGAAAGATTTTAAGAAGTTAATTTTTCCCTGGAAAAGAGGGCAATTTATGATAAACTCACAATAGTAATCCTGATTTCTCAATTTCATTGATTTGAGTTCTTAGAAGAATTCAATTTTTTCTTCTGCAAAAAAATCATATAAACATATATAAATAATCTCTATATATACAAATATATATATATCTGAAATACTTCCAATATTTGAAAGTTATTTTCTCTGAAAATTCTTAATTACAAATACACTGTTTTACACCTTCTACATCTTTTCTGAAAATTAAATTATGTAAAAAGTGAGTCATTTTATATTGCAGGATTCATTTATATAATATCCCTTGTATTCCTTGTAAAAATGAAACAAAATCTTCTCTTTTTACAAAAACCAGAGACTCTGAAAAAATGAACATATGAAAGGGTAGATAATTTCAATATTGTTTTAATAAAAGCATGCTTTTCTTATTAGGTTTTAGGATGGATTTAAGAAGCATGAAACAAATCAGGAATATTTTAACTGCAATAGCACACACTTTGTTGTTGTTCATTTTCTCAGTTGTGTCTGACTCCTTGCGACCCCATGGACTGTAGCATGCCAGGCTTCCCTGTCCTTCACTATCTCCTGGAGTTTGCTCAAACTCATGCCCGTTGAGTCGATGATGCCATGTTTTGGGGACCTAATAGAACTGCAGACCAGGAGTCTCCATCTCTTGGTAACATGATGTTATCCTAGCTCTCACATGTTGCTGTCAATCTGGCTTGTCAGCTGTCTTGGCATTGGACCAAGAAAAGATCAACCTTTATCTCACTTCCCATTTTTAAATATATGTGGGAGGCAGCACAGAATATACCAGATGAAATGGTATATTGTGGCAAAATAGTTTTGAGATATTATCTTTTTCTTTGACTAGGGAATCACCGTATCCAGGATGAAGGTCAGACAACCACCGAGGCAGATCTGATGGTGTTGAGTAAAGTTGAATAGTTATATCCTAAAAGCAGCAGAGAGATATATTCCTTAGTGGTCTATTGGCTAAGCCTCTGTGCTCCCAATACAGGGGGGCCTGGATTTGATCCCTGGTCAGGGAACTAGATCCCACATGCCACAACTAAAGATTCCATGTGCCCCAACTAAGACTCAGTGCAGCCAAATAAATGTTTTTTAAATAATATTAATAAAATAAAGGCCACAGATGTGAGAATCAACCTAGAAGAGAGGTGCTATCTGCAGGATAATGAAAGTCCCCAGTATAGAGATGGTTTTGGTAACTGAAAATGCAAACCCTAAGGAAAAAACAGATGTATAATAATCTGTCTTCCTGATATCTTATCCTGAGGTGTCCTATTTCCAGGTTGGAGGCCAAAGAGAAAGCTCAGCTTCTAATCATTTTATGTCTGCTTTCCTTTCCTGGTGTCCCCAGACACCAGGCTCAGGACAGAAATCATTTATAGAACAGATCGGAAGAGACCTTCA